GGCACGTGTCGCGGCTGAAGACGCCCTATCTCCGCCTTCCCATCAGAATGTGTTGATGGATCTCAGGCTCAGGCTTTTGATACCTCTCAGTAGGTGGCATTCTGAGTTGGAGACATGCGTTCGTTTCGAGTGTTTAAGAGAGAAGGAGGAGGGATTAATATAATCCGTTGGAATTTATGTTAGCCGGCAACCAAAAACTGAACCGAACTGAGCAAACCCGGTGGGATGAGCTTTATACCAGTGACCATTTAGGATAGATTTCTAACAACAACTAAGGATACTCGAACTCCATTTTTCGGTTTACAAAATACGCATCTGATGCTGCCCCTGATAATAGATTCGAGCATGAAACCGAGACGGAAACCGAATAAATTTCTTATGTTAGCGATCACACCAACCTCTCCTCAACTGCCTCGTAGAATTATACTTTCGCTTGCATCGATATCCACCGGCTTGCTTGCAGTCACTAACACACTACACAGCAAGCCCAGTCAATTATCTTTAAGTACTGCGCCGGTGCAAATCCTGACGAGATCTCTAGTTCAAAAACCAATTGAATTGCCATAAGAGTAAAAGGTGGCCTAGAGCATAAGTTATGAACTTAAGCTAAATTCCAGAGGGGGTATGTTCATGTATCCGTGTCCTAACTCCAATCTTAACCACCCTGACACCTCTATCTGCAACCCTGACCATTCTGTAATACGGGGGTAGCTATGCCTTATCAAGATAGAGACCGACTAGCACCACTTCAACTTCACTGGAACTGATTGTGGTTGTGATCAGCTTTGCAAACCGCTCATGACCCTCCGCTTGAGCGACTTCTCGGAGCATACATTCCTCAGCCAACGACACCTGTTTGAAGGAAACCAGCAGTGGACCGCACAACTAAGTCAACAGCTCCTCCCACAGGGCATATCTGCCGAAACCGTGGAAAAAGCAGTCCTAATAACTGTCCAACAATGTGACAGGGGGACCTATCGTAAGATATGTCAATAACGAGAGTGCCTTTAACCGCTTTTACACACCTCTAAAGAGCACAAATAGTCTGAAGCTGACTTTGGTAATTAATTGAACTGGTGCTCAAACAGCTGAACTAGGGGAATATTCAGGGGCAACATGGAGTGTCGTTCAAAGATTGTACAGCTGAAGCCCAGTCCAGATAGGAGTCGTCGTAATTAGTAGCATAGTTCCGCATCCGCATTAACCGAGATGTCTTACAGACACGGAAGGGCGAATTAGCCGGGGTGTAGGGGGTAAAGTTTCCCTGCTCCTACATTGCCGCCTCGCTCGATTCCCTTCGCACGCATAATACATTCATATAACCCCGTTGTCGCACTCCAAGATCTTGCTCGCCTTGCCCAAACACGTCCTTTATAGCTAGCAGTCTTCCCAGACAGAAATATAAATGGTGGATTTTTTTACTCTCAGAGGTCGACTTTGTTTACTTCCCTGTTATTCGCCGTCCTCGGTTAAGTAACGAAATCCAGGCCTCTACTGTATTCATTGTGTAAATGCCTCGCGCGCGTCTGCCTGACAAAATTCAAATCGATTCCACTGAGGTGATGATGAAGTGGTAATTAGATTACGCTCAGTGTTGTTGGATTATGCTAGACGCGTAGACAATTCAATCATGAGTAGAAAATCACCGGCCATCAGCTTGCAGGTCATAGGTATTTGCGTATAAGTGCGTCTGACAAAACTGCTAACAGCCGAGCCGCCAAATTGCCCCTTGTTTGTCGCCCAGCTAACCACACCCGAGGAGATCTGTTTCCAAGAGCTGCTGCCGTACCCCGCAGAGAAGAGATACGCAGAAAAGTCGATAAGTAGCTCTTGCTGTGGTCTTTAGCTTGCCTTGCCGGTAAGAAGTAAACGGATGGACTGAGAAGCAGAGGACAGGAAGCAGGCACGCATGCTCAAATGACGCGAAAGCCAACTTCCTGGCAGCAGTCGGTAGCTTACCACTGCGTACGTATCTTC